CGCCCCGCGGAAGCCGAGCCTGGCGCCCCGCCCCTTCCGCTCCGTCCCCGTTCCAGCCCCGTTCTGTCCCCGTTCTGTCCCCGTTCCAGCCCCGCTCCGTCCCCGTTCCGTCCCCGTTCCAGCCCCGCTCCAGCTTCGCTTCGTCCCCGCTCCATCCCCGCTCCATCCCCGTTCCTTCCCGTTCCGTCCCCGCTCCGCCGGCGAGGTGCCGGTGCCCATGGGGGCCGGGTTCGGCGCGGGGCTGGGGCTGGCCCTGGCCTCCAGCGCCTTCATCGGTGGCAGCTTCGTCCTGAAGAAGAAGGGGCTGCTCCGGCTGTGCGGCCGCGGCAGGGCAGGTACGGCCGCTCCCGGGGGCTGCTCCCGCTGGCTCCCCCGAGAATCGCGAGCAGGATCGTGTTTGGCTCCATCTCAGGTGTCTCGTTTGTTTCCTCCGCACTCAGGGCAAGGAGGACACGCGTACCTGCGGGAGTGGCTTTGGTGGGCAGGGCTGCTGTGCAGTAAGTACCGCGCTCGCACTGTGCTAAGGCACGCTCAGCATGGCATCACGGACTCGTTTGCGTTGGTGGAGACCTTAAAGATCATCTCGTTCCAACCCCCTCCCATAGCAGCACCTTACCCTAGACCAGGTTGCTCCAAGCCTCGTCCAGCCTGGCCTTGAACACTTCCAGGGATTGGGCAGCCCGTTACAGTTCTCCACACTCACAGGGAAGAATTTCTTCCTGGTATCTTATCTAAACCTACTCTCTTTCAGTTTCAACCCATTCCCCCTTGTCCTGTCACTACATGCCCTTGTAAAAAGTCTCTCCCTCTTTCCCTTCACGTACTGGAAGGCCACAATTAGGTCACTCCAGAGCCTTTCCTCTTAAGAGTGTGGTTGTTTCCAGTCGCTTTCATGTTTTGTTATTGCCATTTTTGTTTGACTGCTTGAGTTTTATCCAAGTTTCTGATGATGATGTTGATTTAATTATAACTATATTAAGTCTTGTGCATTACCAGGTTTCTCTGCTAAGCAGGAGCAGAAGAGCTGGTTTAGCTGGGTTGGGTTAAGTGCTTCTGAAGTGGTCTGCCCTGAGGATGTAGTGATAATGGCACATCCAGTACTGTATACAGCAATTTCAGCAGCTTTACTTTACATTTTCAATGTTAAGAACCAACTATAACTGATTTACCCTTTAAAAAGCTGCAAAAGCTGTTCCAGGCTAAGGAACAGATGCCTTTCAGCTTTGTGGAAATTACGAAAATACTTTCCTGTGGTTGCTGCTCACTGTAGAGGCACATGTGACTAAGGATCACTGTGCAGAACACTGAGCCTTCTCTTCCCAACACAACCTGTGGGGCTTCTGCTGGTTCTTGCTGGTGCTGTTCTTCCCTGGTTGCTCAATATACCTCAGAGAAACAGGATGCTCAGGGGGAAACTGAGACTTTTCTGACTACACTCAAACTTTATTATGGTGAATTGCTCCCACTTTGATGCTTACAGGAGTTTCTCTTGCAGTGGGAGTTGGAGAAGCTGCAAATTTTGCTGCCTATGCCTTTGCCCCTGCAACACTGGTAACTCCACTGGGTGCTCTGAGTGTCCTTGTCAGGTAAGCAGCTTGAGAAACAGCCTCACTTCACCTGCCAGCCCTTAGTGATGAAAGCAGTTGCTCTCCTCTCTTCCCTTAGGTATCCATTTCTTGTCCTAATTGATGATTTCATTTTAAATTTGTTTTGATTTTAAATTTGATTTTTAATTGCAGTTTTGACGAGTTTTTTGCTTGTTGGTTTTTTGTTTTTTTTTTTTTTTTTGTTTTGGTTTTGTTTGTTGCCTTTTTAGTGCAGTTCTGTCTTCCATCTTCCTGAATGAGCAGCTGAATGTTCATGGGAAGATTGGCTGTATCCTGAGCATCCTGGGCTCCACTGTGATGGTGATACATGCTCCACAGGAAGAAGAGGTTTCCAGCCTGGAGTCAATGGCAGAGAAGCTGAAAGATCCAGGTACTAACATAAAAGGATTCCTGTTTACTTCAGGCTAATGACAGTAGAAGGTGGGATAGAACTTGGATAGATTGGAAAGGACTGAACTAAATGGTAATTGAGCTGTTTCTTGTTCTGCACACACACCACTGGAATCATTAATAGTTTCCAAGTAGGCTGTTTTTTTTACTGTCTGTGAGGTATAATGCAAAAAGTGAGGAAATGAGGTGCAGCTGTCAGCAGAAGGGATTGGCCTGTGGCAGTACCAGGAATTGCAGAGGGAATTCCTGTACATAAGGGTGGTAGTGGTGTGGCTGAGAGAAGACAGAAGAGGAAATTCAGGCAGAAGAATTGAAGGCAAAATAATTGAAGACAAAAGAATTCAAGGAGTTATGCCCAAGATCAGGTAGTCCTGGTATTTATGTTAGAAGATGAATCAAGTCACAAGGATATGATGCAGGAAATAGCACAAATGGCAGAATAAGCCAAAGGAGATGGAGGAAGGAAGCGTAAGAAGAGAAAAGCAGAGTAATAGGTAGATGTTGCTGCTCTTTGTGGGGAGCACTGGCAGGGCACTCCTGTGATGTGGCCCTTTCTCATCCCACCAGTCTGCAGAGTCCAGCCATGGCTTCCCAAGCCTTCTGTCATCTTCCTGGGCCTCCTGCTGGACTGGTCAAAAGCCCCCCAGCTCTGTTAGTGCTCTGGCTGTGCCCCTGCCCCTCCCAGCACACTGTATCCCCAACAGCCTGCCTTGTGATGACCCTGTCATGAGCTGTTGTCTCTGCAGCTTTGCTCAGGCTTTCCAGCTCTGTTCCTTTCAGATGGAGGCCAGAAAGGCTGATGGGGCAGTTACCTGCCTGTCCTCCATCTCTGCTTGCTCTTCATCATGTCACTGGTGCTGCTGTGTTCTGATGGGAGTTCTTGAATTTTTCCTTCCCCAAGGATTCATTGTATTTGCTCTGTGTGTCCTGGTGAGCTCCCTTCTGCTCATCTTTGTGGCTGGGCCCCGTTATGGACAGAGCAATGTCCTGGTTTATGTTCTGGTCTGCTCTGCCATTGGCTCACTGTCCGTATCCTGCGTCAAAGGCCTGGGGATCGCCCTGAAGGAACTGTTCTCTGGGAAGCCAGTCCTGAAGGAACCCCTGGGCTGGGTGCTCCTGGTGTGCCTGGTGATCTGCATCAGCATCCAGATCAACTATCTGAACAAAGCCCTGGACATTTTCAACACCTCAGTGGTCACACCCATATACTACGTGCTGTTCACCACAGCAGTCATGATGTGCTCAGCCATCCTCTTCAAGGAGTGGCAGCACATGGTGCTGGACAACATCATCGGCTCCATCAGCGGCTTCCTCACCATCGTGTCCGGCATCTTCCTCCTGCACGCCTTCAGGGACATGCCCTTCACCCCCAACCTCCTGCCCCTGTTCCTGCAGCCAGGCAGGGCAGACCCACACCCGTCCTGGAGCAGTGCAGACAGACATCAGTCCTGTCAGCACCAGCCTCTGCTGCCCTCGCAGGACAAGGGCTCTCAGAGTGCAGAGGAGGAGGAGGAGGAGGAGGAGGAGAAGTGAAAGCAGGTGAGGAAGCATCTGAACTGCTCCCACTGCCAAGGCTGAACATGCTGCTGCAGGAGCTGTGAGCTACCTTCTGCGTGCCCCAGGTACCACCCCACTGACAGGAGGCTGACAGGGCCAGCAGCCTCCTGTGGCTGCAGACAGGAGCCTTGGGAACTGCCCAGTTCCTGGCATCCTGTGCTTCTCCACTGTTCTTTTACGTGAAGAACTGATCTGCCCTCATCAGGACTCAGACCTCGGCTGTGCAAATAGAGGCCTGCAGCACTAACACAGTGCTAACCCTGACTCCACAGCAGGTCACACATCTGGGGAGTATCACACTTTTTTAAAACCAGAATTAACAGTTACAAAATGATTTAACATGGTGCTAAGGTTACATGGAGAGAAGATGGATGTCTGGCTTTAAAGGTGACATACAGAGTATTAATGCAAAAATTCCTCTGTCAAGTACTTGGTTTTGCTCACTCTGCTAGAATTTATTTACAGATTCACATCCAAAAACAGAATACAGCCCAAACTGGGAAACTTCAGTGGTGCTGCCACATGCTGCTGTGGCTCTTACAGAGGGACCAACCTCTTCATGCAACATCTGCTGTGCAGGTTGATGAAGCTTCCTGTATTCTATTAAAAACTGATCTGTTCAGTTACCAAGTGCTAAGTGATACATTTATACCAAGAGCTGGGTGAACACTGGAAGGCATGGAGGATCACAAGGGTAGGAAGGATTCTGTCAGTGCTCCAGAGAAACTCCAGTTAGGAGAGGAGAGGGAATTGCCTACTCTGGGAACCTAGTCCTTAGCTATTGAGGTAAGTTTCTGACCGATAACTAGACAGCTGTGTCCTCACTGACACAGGTTTACATCTGCATAGCTGCCGAACATCCTGAGCTTTTTCCCAGGAAGGCTGCTGGCTACAAGCCACCCACATTAGGAGCTCACACGCTGTGTCCAGCAGCCCTGCAGTGGGTCAGTGTGCAGAACTGCTTTACCAGGCTCCTGTGTAGAGCTCCACTGTCAGTGTCATTCCAGGCTTCCCAGAGCCCTGCAGCATATGAGCACTGCTGAAATGCTGCTGCCTTCCCAGAGAGCTGATCAGTAGTTGGTTGTTTTTCCAGTTTGAAGCTCCTCTTTGTGTCCCGGGGGCAGAAGACACACCCACAGGCCTCCCACCAGTGACCTCCACAGGTGAAGGAGCACCAGGTTATAAAGCAGCTGGTTAGCTATTCCCTACATTTAGTCTGTCTAAAGAAACGACTCTCCAGGACAGCAGGAACTGTTAACCTTTTTGGGGAAGAAGAGGAAAGGCCACAGCCTCTCCCAGAAACAAATTTGATTCATGAGATCAAATTAATTGAGCAATGAATCAGAATTCAGAAAAGGCCTGCTAGCCAAAAGACAGTTATGCCCCCTTCCTACTAATTTTGCCACAAATAGGGTCACTGGGAAGAAGGGGGAGTGACAAGAAGGCCAGATTTTCCATTCTCAGCAGTGATATATCTGAAAAAAAGGAGAATCTCATATTAAAAATTGACCCAGTTATTATTTATTACATTTACCCAGGGAAAGCAGTTAATGGAGCAAGTCAGCATCGACAGAGTTGTGCTGCAGTGTGAAAATTGGTCACTTGGCCATATGAATGATTTACCTATGGAAGCCTGGAAGTATTTTCCAGCAGTGGCACTGCCTGGGATGATCACTGTTCCCAACATGCTCTTCTTGCTCAGGGTGCCTGTCCCAGGCTGCGCAGCGCAGCGATGGTGCCTGGGGGCAGGTGAGGATGTGCCCAGGAGGGCTGGTTTGTGCAGCACTGTTTAAGGCAGCGACCGTGGGCTGGCCTCACCCAGAGCCGAGCTTCCCATCGGCGCTGGGAGCATCCGTGAAACGAGCATCAGCACCCGTCTGCTCAGCCCAGGGGGCACATTCCAAATGCTCCCTGCATGGCACCGCGGTCCCGGCACAAAGGCGGCCGCGGGGCCGGGAGCAGCACATCACCCCGACCTGGAGCGTCCTTGTGTCTGTTCTGGGCTCTCATCTGGCTGCAACTTCCCCGAGACTGGCATTTAATTAAATCCTAACCCGCCCCCCGAGCTGATCCTGCCTCCTTCGGGCAGCGGAGTGACCAGGAGTGGGCATGGGCGAGGGCCTGGCCTGGCGGGGGCTGGGTCCGGCTCAGTCGGACAGGCTCTCCGAGAAGGCCGACTTGGACTTCTGCGTCTGCTCCAGCCGGTTCAGGATGAACTGGCTCGTGTCGATGAAGCGCTCCACGCAGTTCACGAAGCACGTCTCAGCCCGGCTGTCCAGCTTGGGGCCCGGCTTGTCCATGCACTTCTCCTGCACACAGCGGGGTCCCGTTGGTCCCGGGAGCACCGCAGCCCGACCC